AACAAAATCTTAGTGTTTAATAATTTAAAATTATTTATAGACATAAAAATAAAACTAAAATTTATCAAATTTTAAAAATAATATATAAAGAGGTTACAAGGACCCATCGTCTTGCAGGACCGATCAATCCCTGTTGCATTGCCCTATTCCAAACCAACGTGCACGGCTACCATACTGAAAAGCCATCTCCAAATAATTAAGGACTAGTATGGCTGATCTGGTCCTTTCTATGTATAATTTTTAGTCAGTCAACTACTTGATCTGTAATATTCATTCATTTAAGTAATATAGTAATATACACTATCATTCATTCAAGTATGATAATAGGACACTATAGCCTCACTATTCAAACGCATGAATGAATGAAAGAACAAAACCAAAAATTTATAATTAATAAATACTTAACCAAATTTAATACAAGCAAACTACATAGAGCACACAACCCCCAATTGATGGCTCAATTGGTTAAGAACTTCAAATTTTAAATTAAAGATTTCAAATTTCAACTTTAATTTGGATGAAAGAGAGATTTAGAAAAAATAAGAAAGTTATTTCTTTTTTTTTTTTTGATAAAATGTAAAAATATTATTTATTCAATAAAACTATTCTGTACATTTACACAACAACTGTTGCTACAATCAATGTATAACTATAATTTTCAAGAGAATCTACTGCTAAGATTGCATTGATAGCTGTATAATGCCTTCTAGCCCCCATTGCTTTGCTAAAGACATGGATAGTGATGAAGAGTTTGGCTTTGCAAAGCCTAAAACCTTATTTCTAACATCAAACTGAATATCATGTACAACTTGCAAAATAGATTGGAAATGTTGCCTAAGAACTCTACTATTTCTCTCCCTCCAGGCATAATAAACTATAGTATTCCAAGCCAATTTAACAAGGATACAGTGCAAGGATTTCCTCCTAATCCTCTTCCCCATCCAGGCCAATAAACCTTGCCAAGAGTAGAATAAGAGAATTCTTGTTATAGCACAAATAGCCTACCATATTTGCTTGGTAAAATGACATTGAAAAAACAAATGAGTGCTTGTTTCTATTGCTGTTTTATAGAACAAGCAGGTGTCATCAATACTGGGAGTCCATTTCTTTTGTCTATTTCTTGTTGAAGGTCTATCCAAAAGTGCTTGCCAACAAATGTAACTATGCTTACGGATTGCATAAGGAAACCATACTAATCTATGCCATGGAACCTTCTCTTGCTTTGCTCGTTGAGAATGCCATGCATTACTTGTCTTAAACACTCTTAAGATAAAGGCAGTCCAAATAATCAAGTCCTTCTCCTCATTCTTTGGATATAGAGGGTCAAAAAGGGCCATCTGAATCCATTAAGTTGTGAGGAGCAAGGAAGAGGTCAATTCCAAAAATTTCCATTAATCACTTCAAAAATTTTGGCAAGTAAGTGCAGACTGAGTCAAGAACAATATACCAAAAAAACTAAAAGTAAGATAAGAAAAAAAAAGATAAGATAAAAAAACAGAAAGAGAAAAGGGAAAAAGCACAGCTAGAGGTCTTGTCATAACTAAATCATGTATTTGGAGTTAGGGATAGAAAAGGACCCAATTTGCACTGTTCCCGGCGAAAGTATGCCCCCAATATTGTTGTTATTGAAGAACTAGCCCATCATGTGTTAGTAGGTTGGATTTAAGTAAGTTGGGAGTTCTACTTTCATTTACTATTTGAAAAAATATTTTTCCTTCCCTAAATTTTCTATGTTTAAAAAAAAATATATTGTTGTTATTGAAGGGTAAAAACTCATTATGATCCTTCTACTTTAACAAAATTTTTTTTTGTTTCTCTATTTAAAAAAGCTTTTTTTAGTTCCTAAAATTAATTATTCAACTTATTTTTAGTTTTTCTATTATCTTTTTGTACACTTGATACATCAAATGATAGAACTTTTAAAATTTAAATTATTTTAAAAGTTATTTTTGAAATTCTCAACTTTAGAAGTTTCATTATTTAATGCGTCATGTGTGTAAAAAAAAAAAAACAAATGAACTAAAAAATGATTGAATAATAAACTTTAAGAATCAAAAAGAAGTTCTTTTTTTTCTTTTTCTTTTTTTTTTAAGTAGAGAGATTAAAAAGAGATTTTTTCTTAAAGTAGAGAGATCAAAACCCTTTTTAATGTAATTTTGTCATATTGCCATTTTACCGAGGGACTAGAAAGCAAATCATTGATCTTTCATGTGATTGCAATTTTTCTTCCCTTTCACGATGTTTTTTTAAGCGCATATCATGATAAATGCATTCCTCTCGCTTTCCACACTCATATAGCTTTGCTTTCTCATATTGTTTCTTTGTAAATAAATTTCTAAACATGATAAGATTAATAATTCCCAAACTGTTTTTCCTGAATCCTAACTGTAAGAAAATCCAGGAAAAAGAAAAGAAATGATAGGGCAAAATTAACTTAGAAGATGCAGCTCTTTCAGCCCAATCAAGATGTGCAAGGCTGACATGGATGTGTAGAGATTCTACAGGTCAATTGGTTGATGATGGGAATTTAAAGCGAAGAGCCTCCACTATCCTTGAACTTATTTTTCTTATGAATTGACTTGAAAAGCAGATATTTATTTGTTTCATTTTGTTTTTTCTTTGCAATGGCAACTATTTAAACCAAACAGTCGTACCATTTCAATTTTTCATATATCTTATGACCATTTCTACAAAAAGATAGTCTTATTTCTTAAATTTGTCCACTTCTATCTCAAATTTTGAATTTGAACTTCTTCTAACTTAAGTATTATGTTCTTAGAAGTTAGAACACTATACTTGAACGGCAGTAAAGTTTAATCATAAATGTGGATCTCTTGACAAAGTCATTCTTTCTCCTTAATATTTACAAGAACCAGTCTTGGGTTTGGAGTAGTTTGTTTAGTTATTGGTGCATGGTGGTTGTACGAAATGTTAAAGAAGAGAAGGAAACTGAAGCTTCAGAGGCAATTCTTCAAACAAAATGGAAGCTTATTATTGCAGCAACAAATGTTTTCAACTGAAGGTAATGTTGAAAAGACCAAAATATTCAATATCAAAGAGTTGGAAAGGGCAGCTAATAATTTCAACAACAATAGAATCCTTGGTCAAGGTAGCCAAGGCACTATTTATAAAGGAATGTTGGTTGATGGAAGCATTGTTGCAGTTAAAAAGTCCAAAGTACTAGATAAAGAGAAAGTTAAAGAGTTCATCAATGAGGTGGTCATTCTTACATGGATTAACCATAGAAACATTGTTAAGTTATTAGGGTGTTCTTTGGAAATTGAAGTCCCTTTGCTAGTTTATGAATTCATCCTGAATGGGACGCTTTTTCAATACATACACGATGAGAATGAGGACTTCCTATTAACTTGGGAAAGACGATTAACAATTGCTGTAGAAGTTGCAGCTACCCTTCCCTACTTGTACTTGGCAGCCTCCATTCTCATTTATCACCGAGATGTCAAGTCCCCAAATATTCTACTGGATGAAAAGCATAGGGCAAAAGTTTTAGATTTTGGGGCATCAAGATCAATTGCCATTGATCAAACTCATTTGACCACAAATGTTTAGGGCACATTGGGTTACCTAGACCGTAAATATTACCAGTCAAGTCAATTTACAAAAACGAGTGATGTTTATAGCTTTGGAGTTGTCCTTGTTGAGCTCTTAACTAGAGAAAAACCAATTTCTTTAGTAAGAGCAGAGGAAGGAAGAAGTTTGGCCTCTCATTTCATTCTTTCCATGGAAGAGAACAATCTCTTTAACATTCTTGATGCTTGAGTTAGGGATAGTTTTGCACATGAAGGAATGAAAAGGGTTGCTAACCTTGCATATAGATGCTTGAGCTTAAGTGGTAAAAAGTGGCCAAGAATGATAGAAGTTGCCATGGAGTTGGAGCAGATTCGTCTTTTGCAAAACAATTCAAATGGTCAAAAAAATCATGAAGAGCTTAGGTATGCCAAGTCTAAAGTAACCAATCACTGCGGCATTGCTTCAGGAGCTTCTTTGTCATTACACATAGAGCCACCACTTTCAAGTGAATCATGGGAATTGCTAGGAAAGCAAGTAAGCTCAATAACCATATGATATTAGTAGAGATAGGCTCCATTTAGTATGATTGTAGTTTTTAGTTTTGGTTTTTATAAATTTTGTAACTTTAAATAAAAAACTTTTTAGCTAGTTTCATGTTTGTAT